TCTTGAGAGTCTTCTTATGATAAAAAAAATCCTTTAAATATCCATTATGCAATTTTTATTTGAGTCACATATCTGGAAAATAAAAATTCAGAGCAGTATCAAAAAAGAATACATAATATGAAAATAATTGTAATGATAAAATACTTAAAGTAGGAAAATGGTAAAATAATTTAGAATAAAAATTAGAAAAAGTATTGAAAAGGGAAAAAAATTGTAACTGTTGGAAAAAAAATTATCAATTATTATCAGTAGGTATTTCATTATCAAAATAACGTTTGATATCGAAATTGGCAAACTCAGAAGTATCGTAGAAACTTTGAGCTTTTAAAAGTTTAACAATAGTATTATGAAATTGACGATCATTCAGTTTCCTAATATGTAGTGGGAGTAGATTAAATAGCTGTACTCCTCTTCCGTCTATGGTATTAAAAGATGTTTCCAGTTTAAAAGTTGGTCCTTTTATAGTTAAATTTCTTGTTTTATAATAGGAATTCAACATGGAGGATAAGTTGAGGACTTTATGAATGACAACATAATTAGCAAAAATATACAGGGAACAGTGAGAATGTTAAATTGTCGGAAAAGATTCCTACATGAGGACAAGGAACTGAGAGAGAAAATGATTCTTAATAATATATAATATGATATTTTACGTGAATATTATTTAAATATGATTAAATTGTAGTGAGTAGTTTTGTTTGTAGTTTTATTTATATACAAAAACGTTAGCCGCAAGTGTTACTAGAGACTCAAAATATAAACTTTTTTGATATGTTAATATGAAAATGCACTTTTTGGCATATTTTTCTCAAACACGGTGCTCTGAAAGATCTCATTTGTATAATTATATACACATTAGTATTTATAAAACATTTCTATGTTATATTATTTTTTATTTATGTTATTTAAATTCAGAACCTAAATTTGGTATCGATCAAATGGACATTTTGTCGAATAACATTTTTCCAGTTATAATTTCCCAGAATTTATTGAAGAATTGATAGTAATATATGAAGGTCCAGGGTTAAAAAAGGTCCACCACTTATGTGTCAAAAATCAGTAAAGTTAAACATGGTTTAACAACAATATTTGAAAGTAGAGGAAAAAAATGTATAACCAGCTATAACCTTGATTTGAAAACGGTAATCTTTGAAATGGGGGAGATAAACGGTAATCTTTGAAAATCCATAATAAAAGTATTTTCTTCCGTTGGTAGTTTTATAGCATTAGTTAAAAATGTAATTATTTTGTAAAATACCTTTAAAATTACAATAAGGCTTTAAACCTTTTTGCCACTTGCCCGTTTTAAGTTACCCCGCCTATAGGATAAAAAGATCTAAATAACAAATTTTTGAAAGACATCAAAAAAGCACATTTCTACAATGAAGAAGTAGAAGGCAGTTTACTGAACGTAGTCAGATAATTGTTCGTTTGATATGTGTTATTTGTTGTGATACAACTGTTATGGTTATCACAATAGTTTATATTTGCTCAAAGTCAAATTGGACCTTTGTGCCTCGTCCTGCTCTACATATATACTTTTTAGTAAATTTACTTTAATTCATTGAATGTTACTTGAAACTTTTCAAAAAGCATGTCAAAGAAGAAATACTTAATTCATTTTCTATTTGAAAATTTTGTATAAGCTCAGTAGTATTATTTACAATATAATACACAAAATCCAGGATCCTCAAAGAATCTGAAAAACTTGAAACGTTAATCAATAAGTCGAAAGACCAAAAAAGACTTGGATTGGATTATACCATGTTTTCTATAGAAAGTGTATAAAACTTCCAGTTTAATTGAATTGACAAAATAAAGACAAACTAGTGGGGTTTATTGTTTTTATAATACCCCATTGTATATAGCATTCAAACAACACATCCTTATACACTTAAAGTACTAATATTTTTGATTCTCTAGAAATTGCTTAAAATATACCTTACATAGCAAAACAATATTTGCCGGGTCAGCTAGTTATATATAAATTATCTCGTATTAAAAAGTTGTGCAATTAAATGAAAATGACAATCAAGTGCCAAGATAAGCCGTTTGTCACATACCTCCTCTTGCAGATGATGAATTTGCTTCGAATATACAAACAATGTGTCAAATGTTGAAGAAAAGTACTCAAAACAGTTCGCCTGTGATGGAACAGTTAAAATCGGATTGTTAATTGAATACAAACACGTCGTAGCACAACGACGTAATCAAAAATCAACAGATTCAACCGCCATTGTAAAACACTTTGTGCAAAAACACGCGGAAGAAAACTAATAAATCCGTGAACAAAATTAACCGTTCGCGCGTCCCGTCACTTTTGCACACTTTTATAATAATTTATTTTCACAAAATTAAAATAAAATGCGTAAACATTCGATTAAACCCCATGCTTTCTATTCCATGTTTGACAGATGAAGATGCAAGAACGAGTGTTGCCAACGTCGACTCTGCGCGCCAAAGCGTCGCTGCGGACAAAAATTGCACTAGGCAGCGGCGCCAAATTCGAATTCGACCAATATAAATAATGTAATTTTATTAGATGCTGCTTCTATTTTGTGAAAAACATGCTGCAAAAGATATTTTTGAAGATTTTTAGTAGAATATGTGTTATATATATTGTAGATTTTATATATATGCTGATTTTTAATAAGAATATACTGCAGCGCCAAATTCGAATTCGACCAACATAAATAATGTAATTTTATCAGATGCTGCTTCTATTTTGTGGAAAACATGCTGGATATGTCATTTTTGGAGATTATTAGTAGAATATGTATTACTTATATACTTGTACTTATATATATTGTAGATTTTATATATATGCTGATTTTTATTAAGAATATACTGCAGCGCCAAATTCGAATTCGACTAACATAAAGCAATGTAATTTTATTAGATGCTGCTTCTATTTTGTGAAAAACATGCTGAAAAAGTTATTTTTGAAGATTTTTAGTAGAATATGTATTATATATATTGTAGATTTTATATATATGCTGATTTTCGAATTTGACCAACATAAATAATGTAATTTTATTAGATGCTGCTTCTATTTTGTGAAAAACATGCTGAAAAAGTTATTTTGAAGATTTTTAGTAGAATATGTATTATATATATTGTAGATTTTATATATATGATGATTTTTAATAAGAATATACTTCAGCGCCAAATTCGAATTCGACCAACATAAGCAATGTAATTTTATTAGATGCTGCTTCTATTTTGTGAAAAACATGCTGAAAAAGTTATTTTTGAAGATTTTTAGTAGAATATGTATTATATATATTGTAGATTTTATATATATGCTGATTTTTAATAAGAATATACTGCAGCGCCAAATTCGAATTCGACCAACATAAGCAATGTAATTTTATTAGATGCTGCTTCTATTTTGTGAAAAACATGCTGAAAAAGTTATTTTTGAAGATTTTTAGTAGAATATGTATTATATATATTGTAGATTTTATATATATGCTGATTTTTAATAAGAATGTACTGCAGCGCCAAATTCGAATTCGACCAACATAAGCAATGTAATTTTATTAGATGCTGCTTCTATTTTGTGAAAAACATGCTGGGAAAGTTATTTTTGAAGATTTTTAGTAGAATATGTATTATATATATTGTAGATTTTATATATATGCTGATTTTTAATAAGAATATACTTCAGCGCCAAATTCGAATTCGACCAACATAAATAAGGTAATTTTATTAGATGTTGCTTCTATTTTGTGGAAAACATGTTGGAAAGGTTTCTTTTTGGAGATTTTTAGTAGAATATGTATTATATATATATATATATATATATATATATATATATATATTGTAGATATTATATATATGCTGATTTTATTAAGAATATACTGCAGCGCCAAATTCGAATTCGACAACCATAAGCAATGTAATTTTATTAGATACTGCTTCTATTTTGTGAAAAACATGCTGGAAAGGTTTTTTTTTGGAGATTTTTAGTAGAATATGTATTGTATATATTGTAGATTTTAGATATATGCAAAAGAATAGGTAATTGGACTTTTTGCTAATTTCTTAGTGGAATCTACAACAAACTTGCTTTTTGCACTATTAATGAATATATATTTAAGTAACGATTTGTCAAACACCTTCAAGTTTTTAAATAAAAAATTTAAATTTAATTTAAATATAAATTTGTTAAATATAAATTTGTTGTTATAAATGTGAATAGATACAGAAATATTTTAAACAAATCTTAAGTATTTCTGTATCTATTCACATTTTTAGCCTATTTAAAAAAGAATATTACAATGTAATGGCTTTAATTAAATTATTAAAATAAATACACACCGTTTTGAATGCAAAATTGTAGGTTTTCAAAACACTCTAAAATTGTTTTTAAGATCTAACATATATCCTTAAAATTCATATATTTCTCTTTTTTTAAATATCTTGCACTTGAAATTCGCTTTTTGAAATATCATACGAGGATTGTTATTATTTTAGTATTTGACAAATTGCAAACCAACAAATTTAATTGAATAATCTGATTAAATCCATTCAAATGGATGGAAATGGAATGTTGATTCACTTGTGACTAATAATTGGATGGATGATTGTTTAAAAAACTTTTATATATGCATATATATCAATGTTACATTTAATAAATTATTGTACATCATAACAATATTATTGTATCGCATCATTATTACTATTATATTATAATTGGTCAACAATTCTATCTACATTTTCGTTTCAAACGACATAATACTGTTAAATAAAAGAAAAGGAACTACTGTACACACATATATACATACATTCTTATATATATATATATATATATATATATTATATATAAAATATCCTATCATACCTGGCCACGCTTTGCTGTGGCAAGGTTGTTATTATTTACGAACAAAGATCAACATGTTAAAGCTGGTATTAGTACACAAAACGTACCTTTACTCCATAATTTAATCATATAGACATTTTTAATATTTTATATAAATAAATAATTATTAAATTAATTAATTATTGCAAGGAGGACATGAAACTTTCTGCGTTTGCTCCCTGACATAGTCTTGTACGTTGAATCGTGGATTTTCAGGATCAGTAGACTCGTTTTTTCTATATTTCAATTCCCTGGAAATGAAATAAAGTGAATAAATTATAAAATTATTATATTAGAATTTTATGAAGTACAATAATATTATTGGTAATAATTTATGAAGTAAAATAATTTGGTTCATGCCACTTTTTAGAAAATTGTATTTGTTTTTGAGAAAACTTTTGTGCCTCTAAAAACTTTTGTACTAATAAGAAAAATATTTATAAAATCAACAAAATTATCGAAAAAAATGTTATTCAGAATTTATGAAAAAGCTTAAACTTTACTTGCAAAACCAATTTATTTTTATCCAGTGTAACATTTTTTTTAATTTTGGGGTCAATATGCTTTATTTTATTTTCTTTAATAATCTCCAAATTCAGTTTAGATGGAATCGGCAGTGCTGAACAAGGTCAGGGATACACAGGATGTGGCCAGGACCACATCGCATTTAAACTTGTTTATCTATTATCTTTTATTTAAGCTTGTTTATCTATTATTATCCATTTATACAGGACCACATCACATTTATTTTTCTTTGTCTATGGCCAGGACTATGCTGGATGAGGACAAGCTAGTGCTGGACCAGAAAAGGAAGGCACTGGACCTACAGAGGGCTATAAAGCACCAGGAGAGAAAGGCACTGGATCGCAGGAGTATGGCACTGGACAGGGACAGTATGACAATGGACCGGGCAAGGATTGCCTGAGGCATACAGAATACAAATCAAGCAGATGAGAGTGAAAGAAAGGAAGGCACTGGACCTAGAGAGAGCAATACTGGACCTAGAGAGAGAAATACTGAACCAGAAGAGAAAGGCACTGAATCGTAGGAGTATGTTACTGGACAGGGACAGTATGACAATGGACCAGGAAAAGATTCCTTTGAAGCATACATAATCCAAATCATGCAGATGAGACCGAAAGAAAGGAAAGCACTGGACCTAGAGAGGGCAATACTGGACCAGGAGAGAAAGGCGCTGGATCGTAGGAGTATGGCACTGGACAGGGACAGTATGACAAAGGACCAGGAAAAGATTCCGCTGAGGCATACAGAATCCAAATCATGCAGGAGAGAAAGGCACTGGATCGAAGGAGTATGGCACTGAACAGAGACAGGATGACAATGGACCAGGAAAGGATTGCCCTGAGGCATACAGAATCCAAATCATGCAGATGAGAGCGAAAGAAAGGAAGGCAGATGTGATCAGGACTATACTGGATTAGGACAAGGTAGTGCTGGACCAGAAAAGGAAGGCACTGGACCTAGAGAGGGTAATACTGGACCAGGAAAGAAAGGCACTGGATCGTAGAAGTATGGCACTGGACAGAGACAGGATGACAATGAACCAGGAAAGGATTCCGCTGAGACATATAGAATCTAAATCATGCTGATGAGAGCGAAGTGGGAACAATCTCATCGAATCTTAGAGAAATAGCCATACAAAAAGACAATAATTGGAAAAAAATAAAAACCTAGAGACAACATGCAGATAGAAGAGGACCCCAACAGGCTGTAGTAAGATCCCAGCAGGCTGGAGAAAGACCCAAATGCAGCAGATAACGGGAGAAGAAGACTCTGGACTGGGAAAAGGTCACACAGGATTGGAAAAAGAGGATTCTGGACTAGAAGACCATACTAAACTGGGAGAAGAGGGCAGTGGATAAGAAGAAGAGGGCACTGGACGGAGAGATATATATATATATATATATATATAATATATATATATATAATCATTCACCTAGCTATTGCCAAAAATGCCAACTCCACGTTGACTCCAGTTTTGGCAGAAGTCTCCATAAATGTAACATTGTATTCTCTTGCCAATCGTTCACCTTCTTCTTTCTTTACTTGTCTTTCAGGACCACAATCAGCCTTATTACCTAAAAATATAAGAAATTAAAAAAAAATACTAAAAATGAACAATAATTGAGTATTAATAACAACAATATACTTCTTGGTATAAAACTCAAAGCTTTTTGAAAAAAAAGGTGATGATATTTGGTTGAGATTTGTATCTGAGATGTATTAGAAGTTTTAGTTCAGAAGTTATGAATAAAAACTATTTGCTGTGTTTTATTTTAGTCAGAAAGTTTTAGGCAAATATCAGCAAAATTCTAAAATAAAGGAATAAAAAATGAAATGGTGATGATAAATAGTTGAGGTTTATGTCTGGTATGTATAAGATGATTATGTGTGTTTTTTTATTAACGTGTCTTAGTTAATTTTTAATTTAGAAATATCTGTATTGTATAAGTTTAAGTATGTATAAACTTTTGCAAAATCTCCTAAATTCAGGTAGCACAGCAAATTAGTTTTGTGTCTGGAATATTGGGGCAAAAATAGTGCAAATGGGAATGATAAACAACTAAGAGCAAGGATCATTTATTTGTAGTGGCTCTCACACCATGAACCTGGTTTCGAGCAGATTACCATGTATTATTATTGTATATATACATATTTAAGCATTACCTATTAACATGATAACAACGTCGTCCTGCGCATATTCCCGAATTTCCCCGAGCCAGGCCCGAATGTTGTCAAAGCTCGTCTTGTTCGTGACGTCATATAACAACAGCAAAGCTAGAAAACAATAAAAAATATTAATAAATATTATTTGTTATTTAACTAATTAATTATTTCATTAGAATATCTATCTATAGAACCATTAATTAGGTTATCCATCAACTTATTTACTTCATCAGACCATGAGTCTCTAATTTATTTATTTATTCATTTATTAGTTATTATTTATATACAATATTTATCTAGTTATTCTAAAAGTTATTCATTCATCTCCCCAATTACTACTCTTATCAGGATATTAATATACCGCAAAGTTCATGCTCCTTTTCTTTAGGCAAAATGCCACTTACACCTGCTTTTTTTATATACTTATCAATTTTATTTATTTATTCAACTATGTATCCATGTATTTATTTAGTTATCTATGTATCCATGTATTTATTTATCTATTCATCTAATTCTCACCGTGGGCGTCTCGGTAGTAGGCATGGGTCACACTGCGAAACCTTTCCTGACCGGCAGTGTCCCAAATTTGCAGTTTGACCCTGGACTGGTCCACTAGAACTATTTTATTCTACAAATAAAGAACGAAATAAGTAGAATTGAATCAATATTGGTTGTCAAAGATACGGCCAATATTGGTCGTTAAAGTTACGGCCAATATTGGAGACGTAACGACCAATATTGGTTTGCCAAGATTAAAAATTAAAAATGAAAATTTATTTCATGTTAGTTCTTGAAGATGGTTATAAAGAGCACGTAGAATAAAAATAATGGTATATATCAATATCAAATTTATTTCTAAAACACTTAACCTAAAATCTATAATTCCAAACATAACCTCAAATAAATAATATATAATTATATTATAATGATGAGTTATATTATTTCGGGCAGTAACACCAAGAAGAATGCAAATGATTGACTACTTGATAAAAACTCATAGAAAAAACAAAGAACACTGGATAAAGTGATGCTTTTAATACCTTCAAACATATAATAGATGTAGAATGTAGAATGTAGATGATTGGCAACTTCATGAGGAAAATTGGTGATAAAAATTATGGAGGTACGGCCAAGTGATGCATTCAAATCATGTAGGGGTCATCAAACTCTTATTCATGAATAGTGCAATAATGATAAAAAACGAAGAACACTGTGTAAAGTGTTTTTTCAAATCATGGACCTGCCATAAAAAATGCTGTTTAAGGAAAATGTAGATGATAGTGATAAACATTGGAGCAAATATTAAGAAAACTGGATTCTTTCAAATTACGGGTCTGCCTTCAGACTCTCAAATAGAATGAATGTGTTATTAGTTACCCGAAAATCGATGCCAACTGTCGATATAAAATTTCCTGACAAAAACGTTCCGTCCCTGAAACGCACCAATAGGCACGTTTTGCCAACTCCGGAGTCTCCAAGCAACATAACCTAATTTCACAAAATCCAATTTAAAAAAAAACAACAAATAAATTTTTATTTTTATAAATCCAGAACCTTTGCTGATAAATCGTAAAGATCCGGACAATTTTTTTGCTTCACGGGCACCCATTTGTCGCTATCAACACTTTCGACTTCACCAAAAGATTTGACGCTCCTGATTTTGGAGATTCCATAATTGATCAACTTCCTGGATTCTGCCAAAGATTTTATCCTTCTCAAATTCCGGCGTATATCAAAACGATTGGTCTTGGTGGAAAAAGAAAACTCTTGCTGCTCCTCCAGAATGTCTCCTGGAACTAAAGGGAATTGATCAACTCATTGGTCATTCTCCTGGTTATTAAATGCCAACCTGGTCTAAACTTTGGACTGTCTGGTGTATTTTGTGGCGTCACACAAGCAACAGGATGTCTGGTGGTCATAGAATCCAAGTCGCTAGGAGCTGATGAATTTTTTGTAAAAGCACCAAATTTACCAGATTTTTGGTTAGATATTGGGTTTATTGTGGCCCATGTGGGATATCTTTTCAATCCAACATTGCCAGGATGATTACTGTCATCATGTGCACTAGTTGCTGGCGGTGTTTTGTCTAAACTTATTGAAGGAAACGTTCTATTACCAGATAACGATAAATAACCAGTACTTGATACTGATGAACTAGTATCAGAAACCAATTCTGAATCTGTTTTATTCCTGGTTAAATACTGCTCATCCAACGAGTAGTTCTCACAGCCTGGTTTATCCAAATTTTTCTGGTTTATAGGATTTATAGTTGCCCACGTAGGATACATAGGTAAACTCCTGGAGCAAGTTGCAAATGAAGCTCGTCTAGTATTCAAATCGGGTTTCGGAGTAGCTATTTTTGTAGACATTGTTGGTGTTGTGATTTTAGTCAACGTAGGTTTGATGTAAGCACTGTTTGTTACAGCTGGTGCAGGTGGTGATTTGGTGGCATCTAAGTTTAAGGAACGTCGAAAATTTGTGTTGGAACATGTTGCAAACGAAGCACGACGTATGTGCATGTTTCTTTGTTCTGTGGATGGTCCAAAAGTACGTTTTGAGGTTGAATCCAAGTCTTGGTCATTCATTGTTTTGTTTTGGACCCAGGAAGGTAGTAGTTTTGGAGCAGAAACATCAATATCTGCTTGCATTGTGCCTAAATTAGCATCCTGGACGCGTGTTGACGTATCCAACACGCTACTTTTACCACTTTTATCCTGGTTTTCGTCTTCTTGCGAAGTGAAGGTCGCACGTTTCAACTTGGCTATCAAGACTTCATCGGTGGAACTATTAGAATCCTGTCTGCACGTTGCGAAGCTTGCTCTTTTAGCTTTGATACTGGCAAAACGTTGCTTGTCATCACTTTCTTCTGCTGGTGTCTTATTGAAACTGCTGGTTGTGCATTTTGCAAACAGAATACGTTTAGACTCCTGCTCGCTGGGCTTCGTCTGGGTTGGTTCTGGCTCTTGTTGGTTTTGTTTTTTGGAAGCGGTGGGAAAATGTGCAATGGAACCTCTTCGGAAATTTTTGTTGCCCTGGAGCAGAAAGAGGGGAAATAAATATTTGATGTTTGGTTTTTGAGTTTAAATCAATTTTGATTTAGGACATAAAAGAACGTACCTGGTTCATAGTTTGCAGTTGCGTTTTTGAAACTTTTTCTGGAAACTTTTAGTCACATTTTTTTACGTTTTACACATTTTTTTAAAGACACATATTTTTGCTATTTTTTAAATATCAACTATGTCCGTTTATCATTAATGAAATTAAAGTGAACTGACACACTTCTATATATTCTTTTTAAGCTGAAAATGCAAACAATTTGATAATTTAAATATTGTTATCACTTATTTTAACTGATTTAGATTTTATGTTTTTATGTATGTGTTTAGTTTACTTAAGTGTCTTCAGCTGCCTCATTATTTATTACATAGCAACTGTAATGCTTGCAAATGTTTACTAAACCTTTTGTACGTTTTAAACCAATTGATTAATATTAATGGTGCATTTGGAAAATTTGTTGAAAATTAGATCATTTTGTAATTTATCTAACAATATCTAACCCTACAACTACTCGTCATATTTAAAAATATAACAAAACGCTCAGATAATAATAAATAAATGCACGCCGGTTCCTGTACTTTGATTAATATTGTTTCTATCACGCATAATACGCAAAAGACGTCATAGCGGGGTTTTTCTTTATACTTTTAATATATATATATATATATATATATATATATATATATATATATATATATATAATCTGTCCTATCGACCAAATTTCATTTAGTTCGTGGTCGGAAAAGTTCTACTAAACAGTAATTGGATTAGAAAGTACCTTTCTATTTAGAAAGGTTCTGATAAAGTGACCAAAGGGATTCTATTTGCACATAAAACATAAACTAGGTCACATTAACCGGAATAAATGAAGGAGAACGTATAATTAGAATTTTTATAGAAAATTTGCTGATTATCCAATATTTGCTTAGGAGAACTGTAACGATGGGAAAATAAATAGACAGGGAAGATTTTGAAGATTAAGGGATTTTATATGTATATATATATATATATATATATATATATATATATATATATATATATATATATATGTGTGTGTGTATACTAGCTGACCCGGCAAACGTTGTTTTGCAATAAAAATATTTCTAGTTTAAAATGTTTAGTATAACTAGTTGGTATTGGTATTTTGCCTTGAGGCAAGTTACATGAACTTCCCGATATGTTTAAATAATCGACGTAATCAATAAAAAATAAATTAATTTATCAGTTTTTAAAAGTATTCCGAGTGGATTTATTACACATATTTGAAAACGAATGAACACGTTAACTCGGAGTATTTTCTAAAAGCAAATTTTCACAAATTATTTATAAATGATCCAGTTTCCGTAGGACTTTAATTGTTTAGTATGTTCATTAAGACCAAGTACTCTATCGTTATACGAAGTAAATCGTCTAATTTTAATTTTAACAAAGGTCAAAGAAACTACTCATTCTCTCAAACTTTGATGAATTTTTCAGATTAAACTACTTGTCGTGAGGTCATAATATTACAGTAAGTTCTATAAGACCATGATATATATCGCCAAAAAAAGTTCCATAAAAATCGGCTTAAATTTTTTTTTCAACAGTTAATTCTAAGAAAACGGCTTGGTAGATTTTTACCTAAAACTAATCAATATCATTCCCAACTAATATCTTTCGAACAGTTTTTGATTTTTTAAAATCGATTCGGTAGTATGGGCTTAAATGTGGACGAAAAGCTTATCACTTTTTTTCAAATTACAAAGAAACGGCTCGGCACACACACACATACTTTTTCCAAATTTGATCTCATTCCATTCAGAATGGCTTGAAACGTAAAGTAAATAAAATTAATGGTCTTTAATAAGGTCAGTTAAAAAACACTACCTGACTAAAATCGTGGTAAAAATTTTTTGAAAATTTTACGAAAATTTAGTGTGGCGTGGATTTTTTAATTTCGCATTATGAAAATTAAAATTGAAAGAAAATTGATATCATAATTTTAAAAAAAGGTAAGGGTGGACAACCCTTGATAAAAATAAATAGATTTCCGAAGTATAAAGAGTTTTATGCATTTCTGAATTGCAAATTATAGAAAATTGAAGTAAAGAAAATTGATTCCAAAATTTAAAACAAATGTCAGGGGCGGACAACCTTTGATGTATATATATATATATATATATATATATATATATATATATATATATATATATGATGTTTTAGATTAATATCAAGCAAACGTTATTGCTTGAAATTAATTCCTGTGTACGTTGAGGTTTCCTTCAAATATGTATATATATATATATATATATATATGTGTGTATGTATATAAATGTGGAACAATATTATTGGGGTAACTATATTAGGGGTTGTTTACGTTTGAATGCCTTTGCAAAATCAGGTTCAAAGAGGGTTTATAATCTTCATAGATAAACATTAATATATATATATATATATATATATATATATATATATATGCATATATTAACCCCCCGAGGCAACCCTGATAGCTCCTCACATCGTTTTACCTATTTGTTATTTTTTAAACAATGTACGCTTTTCGAACGCAATTTTCATTAAAGAATTTTAATT